GACTAAATGTATCAGACGCCTTTGCCACATCAACAAAGAGGGCTCAACCGCTTTGATTTCTCTCGAAAGCCAGATGCAAATTATCTGTGAAATCTTCTAGAAGTGGCCATGGGCCCCGCGTCCACATATGAAAGCATATTGATTGGGTGAGAAGATCTCAAATTTTTCAAGGGACGGCGTCAAAGTATGAAGAATCTGTTTTTCTAAAATTTGTACTATACAAGGTAAAATTGAAATCGGGCGATAACTATCAACTTTACTTCGCACTCCAACATTTAAATAAAGGTGTCAATAGCGCATTCGTTAAATCATCGTGGATCCTCCCGCTCTAAATAAAACCATTCAACATATGAAGAAGCACTTGGTTCATGGAGACATCATATCTCCGAAGATCTTCCACGTTAATACTGTATATGCCAGGTGCTCTTTTTGATTTGAAACTGTTATGTCATGTGTGAAGATCATGCTCTGCCATTAGAGGAAGGAAAGCAGGAGTAACATTGGAATTTTGAAGCACTCTTCGAAATTGAGCATCGTCATGAGATACCCCTGAGAAGGTGGCGAAGAGAGTGCTAAAATCTTCAAATGTTTTTCTCGTATTATGACCGAACATTTTCTCAAGTATGTCATCAATTGATCTCCTATCCTCCTTGCCTAGTAGGTGATTTTTCAAATGCCATGTCTCTGAAATATTCGACTGTGCTTTGAAAAACTGATCTCGGCAATATTTTGTTTTGGCTGGGCGGATAGTAATTATAATAATAATAAAGATAATAATAATAATAGTAATAATAATAATAATAGTAAGTAATAAATCGATAAATCCTTCTTTATTGTACTGTATTGTACAACCACCAAACCAACAACCAACAACAACCACCAACAACAATAACTGCCAGCAACAACCAGCACCCAAAAACAACCTACCAATCACAACAACACCAACAACCAACAACCAAGAGCAACAACAGTAACAGCAACAACAGTTACAGTAACAGCAATAGTAATAGTTATAGTGCTATAACTATTACTATCACTGTTACTATAGACATAGCAAATTTAGAGTTGACATTTGCAGACCTGTTTTCAGTCTGTCGAAAAGGACCGGTCTTACTCCAGAGGAGGGGGGGGGGGGGTAGGACCGCCGTAAGAAAGTGCATTCCATCGTCATTTATTCCGGTTGATATAGCGCTTCAGATTCTGTGGGTTACAGTCGGAATAGGCTTTCCAAGGTTCTTAGTCCGAATGTGCTACAGACCACCGGACTCCGGAGCAGAGTTTATCGACCACTTAACAGAAATTGTAGACCATTTACCGTCAAAGCTCCCTAACACTCATATGGTTCTGGCAGGTAATTTTAACTATCCTCGTATAGCCTGGACAGCAAATCAAGTTTCTGGCCACTGTACAAAGAAGAGGAGATGCCTAAAAGTTCTTGAGACGACGAGCTATTTCCAACTAGAGCAGATTATCACAACCCCCACACGTAGAGATGCCGTGTTGCGTTTAATTTTTACGACGCAGCCTGAGCACACGTCGGTTAATGTTATTGATAAAATTAGTGATCACCGCGTTGTCCATTGTACCTTCTTTTTATACGTTGCAGATAGTGATAATTTAGGCAAACAAAGTTTTGATTACAGGAGAGCAGATGAGGAATGTTTGATGTTAAGATCCTTTGTGTTTTCTAGCTCTTTCTTGAGCGGGCTTGATAAGCGTTCCGCAAATGAAAACTGGATGTTGTTTCGCAACAAACTGATAGAGTCTCAAGGTGCCTGCATTCCTGTTTAAAACATTGCCCCTTGTCTACGTTCCCCAAGGTTTACATCTAAAATTAAACGAAGTATTTGAAAGAAAAGCGTTTATATAAGCCAGCGAAGAGCTCTGACTTGGACAGCGATTGAACCCCCTATCATGCGTATGCCTTAGAATGCAAGAAATTCATATAAGACGCCAAGCAGGTCTTCTTTGACGTTGATGTCTCGAATATGCTACGGTCAGTCCCGAAGAAATTTCGGAGGGTTGTGAACCCACACCCTGCAAGTGTGCTTTCGTTCTTGTGCTCTGGTGACACCTTGCTTGGTGAATTTCATTCGGCCGACCAGCTGAACGAGTTTTTCAGTTGTGTTTTCACTGATGAGAATGTTCTGTTGGATTCGACTATACCAGAAATATCAGTTGAAAGCAATATGGAAGTTATTGTAATTTCTACCTATGGAGTTATATGTACCATTGGCCGATTGCCCACTAACTCTAGTCCTGGCCCGGATGGCATATCCACAAAGTTATTAAAGCTAACCAAATCAATTTCTAACCCTCTTCTAGAAAGGCTGATCCAACAATCCCTCTCCATAGGTGAATTACCGGACGACTGGAAATATGCCCATGTTCCTATATTAAAGACGGGGAATAAGAATTCATTTGACAACTACATACCCTTCTCACTCACCTGTGTTTCATGTAATTTTCTAGAACACATTAAATCGTCGAAAATCATGACCCACATAACTACCTATCAACTTCTTTTTATTAACCAGCACGGCTTTCTGCGTAGACGTTCATGTGAGACGCAGCTGTTTGAGTTGTTAAATGACCTTCCTCATTTTGTTCACCTGTCCAGACACGTCGATGCCCCTTTTTATCGATTTCAAGAAAGCGTTTGATCGCGTACCACACAACCGTTTGATATATAAGCTGACTAAACTAAACCGAATAACAGGTGTTGTTAATAAGATTAAAAACGTTTTGACTAAGAGACGCCAATTAGTTGTGATCGGCAAACGCCTCTCCTCCCCTCTTCCGTTACATCAGGTGTCCCGCAGGGGTCTGTATTGGGTCCTGTGATTTTTCTTATGTACATCAATGATCTTCACTCAAACATCAAATCTTGCGCAAGTCTATTCGCGGATAATTCCGTCATCTACCGTCCCGTTATGCACCCTCACGGTAGTACAATATTACAAGATGACTAAGAGAGTTTCAAACTGGTGTCACACGTGGCTGATGAAAATAAATACATATAAAATAAAGGCTATGACCTTCACCTCGAAATATCTCAGCCCTCACACGTACTTCAATGGTAGTGACACCGTTGGAAATTTCTCATCATTAAAATGTCTTGGCGTTCATCTCTCATCGGACTTAGCGTCGAACCTTCACATTGAACACATTGCTAGCAAGGCGCCGCAAACTATTGGCTTTCTCAAACGAACACTGTTCCAAGCAAAAACAGGTACAAATCTTTTTGCCTACACTGTCCTTGTCACATCTTAGCTTGAGTATGCATCAATCATCTGGCATCCTCATCAAACATATATGGCAGAAAAGATTGAATCAATTCAAAACAAAGCTGCTCGACTTATAGCTTGCGACTACTCTCGATTCACAAGTGTAAGTGTAAACAGTTCAAAACTTCGACTTAACTTGTCACCTATTCATACAAGAAGGCACCTCGCACGCTTATCATTTATTTACAAACGATATTACAGTCGGCCACCTTTTAGAGACTATTTCCTTATACCGGTTCACCAAATACGGTCCCGCTCGGATCAGCCTTTCAAAATTAATACCATATTTGCACGAACCAAATGTTTAAACTCTCTACTACTCCTCGCTATATCGGGCTGGAACAGCCTCCCCAGAGAAATTGCCTCCATTAGTGACCAACAGTCCTTTGTCTCCGCTCTAAACATGCTAAACCTTAAATAGTCTTGTATCCCTGCAATATTTGTTGTTGTCAGTGTCTTGTTTCTGATGTACACGTTTTTATTGTGCGCCATCTTTTTTATGTCATACGTCTGAAGGCCTAACTTGCGCCAAATGAGTTGTACCTTCAATTTATGCTTCGTACCTTTACTTTTTTATATTTGTCTTTTTTTGTTTCCACTTGGTTTAGTCGTACCAGTTTTTGTATCACGTTCCCCTTATATAATGCCCGAAAGGCCTTGTAGGGTTAAAATAAATAAATAAATAAAAAACCTTGCGTAAATTATTCTAACCTGAACTCGCTCAATCAATTGTCATTTTTATTTAGTTCTGCGTCTACAGTAGCAACTAGATCAGCATTTTAATATGTTGCTTCCAGGCCGCAACCAAAACACTCCTAATTATGCATTCAGCGAGAAACAAATCAACAAAAAACGAGCCAACGCTTGCAAGAATTGAGAAGTTTTCACCCTCCCATGCCGTGAAATGAGCGAGATTTTTCCGTTGAATCGCCGTACTCCACGCTTCCGTACTCCTCCTTGCAGAAACTTAAATATGGGCACTTTCACATCTTCTGTATACCAACTGTACAATCACAGATTTCCGCAAAAGCGGGGATACACAACATTTGTACGACATGATAGCACCGAACCATCGACCTGGAACTATTAATTTATACTGCAACACACGAAAAGACGGTTGTGTTGTATCCCAAAATGTGCTCGATCCCACTCGAGATTTGATCTTTAGACCCTCGGCGTTCGAAAACCTACTTGCGTCTAGCGTCGTTCTTGCTAATATTTCGAGCCTTCTTGTCACGTGACCCAACCTGCAGGAGTAGCTGAACACAGCCTTCGAAGAAATAAACGCAACTAACCACCAATGTAAAAAAAAAAAGAACAAAGAAAAAACGCGGCGTAATGGTGTTACGTTTTTTTTTTTTTTTTTTCGTTTTGCTTTTTCGTTGGCGTCGCCTTCGTCGTAGAGTGAAAGAAAGAGTGAAAGGGAGCTCGCATTTCAAAGGAGCCGACTGTCACGGGGTCCGTGCGAAAAAGCGCACTACCAGGTCAGCCTACGCATGGTGATGCCGCTTGAAGGGAGAGAGAGAAGCCGTACGGGCCTTAAGATGTAGGTGATGTTTGCCGACACCGGAAGCAGAGGAATACGCTTTGTACTTGTCTAGATCTGACTTTTTTGTATTAAAATAAGTTTAACGGCAAAGTCCACACCCCACTGACACATGAAAAACACATCAGGTACAATACGGAAAATATGGGCACAGAAAAAACGTAGCGATGGAGGTAAGTCATTCAGGCAGCTTTTACTAAGTGCAATCACAGCTTCCGTCCTATATGGAAGTCGCTATAGCCTCACATTTTTACTTTTCTCTCAACAGATGCCGGGGACACAAGACAACCACGTGTACCGTGACGTGGCCGGAGTATACGTCAGCCACATCTTTAAGGAGTTCAACCTGCGTTCTGCCTTAACATACAAGGCCAGACCAGAGGACGTCTTTGTGGTGGGCTTCCCAAAGTGCGGAACGACCTGGATGCAGTTCATCATCCTCGCAATCTACAATGACGGTGCCACATCCAGGGACTTGTACAAGTTTTTCCAAATGTCACCGTTTCTTGAATACGTCGGATCTGAGGCCGTGTTAGCGTCTCCCACTGGTGGACCCATTAAGACGCATTTGCCATACGACAAGGCGCCTTTCTCAGAACAGGCAAAATACGTCTATATCTGTAGAAACCCGTACGATTGCTGCGTGTCCTTCTATCACCACACCACCAACTTCCCCGTATATCGCTTCGAAGATGGAACCTTCGAACAATTTTTGACGATGTTTCTAGCCGGAAAAGTGGATTTTGGAGACTACTTTGACCAAGTTCTCTCCTGGTACAAGCACCGCCACAAACCGAATGTTATGTGGGTAAACTACGAAGACCTCAAGAGGGACACCCGGTCTCACGTGCTAAAAATTGCTATTTTCTTGGGAGAACACTATGCAAAGAGGCTTCTGAAACATCCTGAAATTATGGACAAGATATTGGAGGCGACCAGCATTCTGACAATGAAGGGCTTCAACAGCGAAATTAGGAACTTTACGCTAGCGGCTAATAGCAACCAGGACGTTCAAGGAGGCTCTGAGCGAGCCCCTTTCGATGCTACGTCTACTTTGTTGCAAAAGCCAATGTCTGGAGACTTCTTTCGCAAGGGCGTAAACGGGGATTGGGTCAATCATTTCACGTCAGATCAAGTGCAGAAAATGAAAGCACGAATCGCCGAGAAAACTGCGGGCAGTGACCTCTTTAAGCTGTGGGAAGGCTTAAATCTCCCATGAGATGGTCGAGGCTTTCTTGTCATTTTCGAAGAAACCAGTATAATTGTGTTTTAAACTTAATTGCTCTTTAATCGCCGAATGCTTGCAACATGGTAGGCCTCTCCAATTCCCATTAACTAATAACCGATATTAAAAAGAACTCGCAGACTAACGCCTATCCTTAATGTCCATGTTAACCTGATCGAAAAGACTATCATAAATTTTTGATGGACCACCAGACCTTCCTGATGTTCAGCAGATCTTGATGGCCGGACAGACTTTCTTGATGGCCTATCAGACTTCATTCATGATGTCTAATAGGCCATTAAACATTTTCTAATGGTGGCTCATGGACACCTAATGGCTTATGTTTGTAGCTCACAGAACGTCAAAACGTTCCTTGAGGCGCCTGAAGGACCAGCGCAATGTTTTGATCTTGCCCGGGTGAGACCATCAGGATATCTCGACAGACCATCAGGATATCAAAAAGGCTAATGGTGCTTCTCATGACATCTTTCGGTGGTAAAAGGAACCTGAATTTTCTTGGGCGTCTCCAGCATTGGCCGAGAGGAGGCACTAAAAATCTCACGTTGTTTACGGGTGTTTACGGAACTGCAGAACGGGTTTCGAGTTGGCCGGCGGTTGCACGATAACCTGTTTACATTGATCCAATGCATCGAGATAGCGCGAGCGGAGAGGCAACCTCTGATTTGCTGCTTTCTGAACATTGCTAAAGCTTATGATTGCGTCCCTCACCTAATGCTGCTGGAAAGGCTGAGACACCTTAATATGCCCCAAACATGGGTGAGGTTAATCCGTCGGTTATACGACGGCAATGTGGTGACGACATCCTTCGATGGTGTGACATCAGGCGAGGTCACAGTTGGAAAAAACTTACGACAGGGCTGTCCATTGTCGCCGACGCTATATATGCTATATGCCTCTAGCATGGAAAAGGCCATTAAGACACTGGCATTGGTTTCACTCTGGAACACCGTCTACATAGTGATATTGTAGCGTTGAGACTCCCTGGCCTTGCCTATGCTGATAACCTCGTGCTGATGGCCGACATAGTGGAAGACATGCGGAGGTTGCTCGTCACCTGTGAAGCTGCAGCGGAACACCTCCGACTACGCTTCAATGCTGGCAAGTCAGCGACAGTCATTTTTTCTGGCGAAGAGTTGAATCTTGGATCGCTCATCCTGCAAGGCTCAGCCATATCTCTTCACACCAAGTACAGGTACCTCGGAATAACGCTGTCGGCTAGAGAGGACTACTTGACTGAGCACAATGAGGGCCTCACAAAGTCCTCAGTTAGTAAGCGGAACATACTCCGAAGGCGGAGCCTATGGAGCTGTGACCGGTACATTATCACCCGAGAACTTTTGAAGGCTGTGGCTGTGCCCGGGCTTTTAAAAACTCAGTCATATGTGTTCCTAGTGAGCTACGCACATATCTTGAGTGGCGCCAAAGGGAGGTCGAACGACAGGCACTAGGGTGTCATGGACAAGTAGCCAATGAACTGGTAGAAGGCGACGTCGGCTGGTCTTTCTTTGAAGCGCGGGAGGCAAACAGCAGTACTAGACACATCTCCGGTACATGAACGGGGACCGGTGGGCTAGGCGAGTTTTTTTGTATATTCACCTGAAGCATATCAACTCGACGTGAAGGCAGCAAGTCACTCATCCTGGGACAAAGTTTAAGATCTTCAGCTTGGCCACTGAACCTCAAACAGAAAAGGAGTGGATGAGCACAGTACGGGAGGACGTGAAGAGGGTTGAGAGGGGCGGTTGTATGAGCGGCATGTTACAACACCCTTCCATGCACATGTACGCGTCTCTGAAGGCGGAGATTGCCCCGGTGACTTTCTGCGGGAACACACTGGGCAGTCGACTACTTATAGAGAGGCCCGTGGTGGCGCCCTATGTACCCGCCTATACCGAAGCAACTACGACAGCAGCGTGGCTGACACGGTATGCAGTGCCTGTGGAGCGGGCGAAGAGACAATCGACCACTTGCTGCTTGCGTGCAGGGCACTACACCCAACGCCTGTCGTGGGTGCCCGCTTGGAGCAGACACTTGGTTTCACCAACAAACAGACCCATGTAGTATGCTCCAAGCGGAGGCTCGAGGCATGGTGGCAGGCTCGACTGAAAAATTGGGGGCGTGACCACGATGACCAAGGTGGCCAAGATGGCCAATAGCCGCTGCTTTACCTTTGGCTGGAGGGGCAAACACTCAGTTAAAAAGACGGTGTCATGTAAGCTGATTAACTTTGACTGCGCGAAAGTGACGGTTGGCGAACTTTGGACACACGTGCTAACCACTTCTCTTTTGTTGTTGTCCTTTTTTATTTCGTTTTTCTTTTTGGCTTTTATTGGCATGTCTTACAAGACTCTCGTTACAAAGAGATTGTGCCGCAAATATACACACATACATAATACATACGTACGTCACGCTTGCGTGAATTACAATTGGTGTAAAAAGCGGACAGCGCAGTGGCTCGATAAGGAGTGTTCAATTCATAATAATCTGTCTCTACGATTGTCCTAGGGTACTCTAAAAGCCCCGAAGACACCTCCTTATAGGCTCAAGTATGTTTTTGCAACCGTAGTTTTCTTTTAAATTGAGTCATAGTCCACTCGTGAAAAAATGTGTTGATCCGCTTTATACGTCAAGTAGATCGTGTTTACAATCTAAGTGGCAGAGAATGTGCCGAAAATCGCACTTTTCTGGATAGGAGAATCACTTACTAGGTGGTCGTGTTACTTACTGTAAACGAAATGTTTGCGAGAACAAAAAAGCGCTTACAAATCCGCGAATGCCGTGTTACTAGACTTACTGGTGTCTCGGGCCGACGAGGCTTAAGGCCGGTTCAGACACTTGCGTTTGAGTGAGTTTGACTGCGTTGCGTCGAGAATCGAAAGCGAGTCACCGGCGCATCTGTGCTTCGTATGAAGTGTGGAATTCAATTAAAGGAATCGTATTGGCACGCGATATAAGTAGTAGAGATGTCCTGGTTTCTCGCAGCCGCAACGCAGTCAAACGCAACTCTCTGAACCAGGCTTTTGTGTGTTGCAGGCTGTCTCACGACGCCGTCATGCCCAACATGGCTGATGTGGACAAAAGGCCCGTTCACACGATGCATTTTTCTCACGCATCTAGTGTCGCGAAACATAGTTTCGCGAAATGGTGAAATGCGCGCGTCCCGAAAAGGACGCGCATCTAAAAAAAGTTGCACGCACACCTCGCTTCTCGAGCGAGCATTTGCTGAAACTTTGCCGAGTCCTGTCAATAACTCTGAGGGCGCCGCCAATGGCCGTTAAGAAACGCTCTCACGTGGCCTTTGTGGGGGGAGCGAGCTATTTGAGAAGACCACTTCACTGCCGGTGCTGTAGCCGAGCCAAATCCGAAAAAAAAACCGAAACCACAAATGATGGATACTGCCGACGCTTCCGGAAGAACGTCAAGAACCACTGAAGGAAAAGTGAGTAGCATATCGGAAAAAAATCCAGCGATGGACGAAGACGTAATTGGTGATGATGATAATTCGCGTCTATTTTTAGTCATAATTAAGAAATAAAACCTTGAGACAAGGAAACAAAAAGGGGCGTACACAGTACCGTCTCAAAACCAGCACAGCGTACAGCTCTCATTTACTTTTTTTTTTTTTTTTTTTTTTATTGGGAAGAACAACAGAGAGTTTAGCCAAACACGCAGTCTGGCAGGCTACTCTGCATGGGAAGGGAGGCGGGAAGAATGGTTGCAGAAGAATGCAGAAATGCAGGGAAGGCAGGGATACAGGTTCAGATTTTCACATATCAGTCATAGGGTTGTAATGCTGAAGACACCAACACACACCGTCACAGATGAAGAAACGAAACGTCGTTGTACCGCAGAAACACTGAGTCATTGCTCACTATTGTCCATAAACACACACGAGATATAAATGAGTTAGTGTTCACTTTCAGTTCACGTCGCCTCACGTAGGCTGTACGTATATAGTTAAACGATTCCAGGTAAAGTTAAAGTTGGTCTATCAGCCCAGTTTCTTCGAGAAAGTTTGTAAACGCGTCTAATGGTCCTCGTTGCTTATCTTGCGGCTTCCAAGTTTCTAGCATGTTTTTAAAACTGTAAGCTTCGCCATAAAGTTGTTGTAAGGTGGCCTGTAGTGTCCACCTCGCGTCATCGAATTTAGAGCAACTTGTAAAAATGTGATTGAGATCTTCGGGTATACCACACTGTTGACAATTCGGGCTAGCCGCGTGGCCATACCTAAATCTTTGGAGATTTGTATATGCGACATTAAGACGTATGCGGTGGTAAAGGGTCTCGAGCTTCCTTGGTAAATGTTTTGGAGATATTCCTTTTAGAGAAGGATCGATTCTGAAAAGTGGCTTGTAATGATAGTCTGGTGACTTCCAAAGTTTTCTAAATTCCTCTCTACCAAGTGACATAATTAACGATCGAGCGTCTGTTTTCGTAAAAGGTACGGTGTCCGTGGTTTGTAATAGGTGACCATTAGAGGCAGCAGCATCTGCAGCCTGATTTCCAGCTATTCCGGTGTGCCCCGGAATCCACTGGAATACCACATCATGCCCGCTTCTTTTGAGCTCTGCGTAGCTAAACAAAAGCTCAAAACACAAGTGTGGGTTGGATGAAGAGGTGAGGGAATGCTTTAATGACTGCAGCGCAGCCCGTGAGTCTGTCAAAATTGCCCACTTTTGTGAAACTGTTTGAGAGTGGATGAATTGGAGTGCCATCTTAATTCCGTGTAGCTCCGCAGTTGTTGAAGGGACATTGTGTGACAGCTTGAAGCTACGGGTTGTATTGAGAATTGGTATAACTATTGCAGAGGCTGATGTACTAGTACGTGTAGAGCCATCTGTGTATATATGCACACGGTCAAAGTATGCATAGTGAATATGACTGAGCGTCAATTGAAGTTGAATTACTTGTGACTGTGCTGCTTTTTGGATGAGACCTGGCACATTCATAAAAACTTCTGGGATATGCAGTGA